TATGCAAGGATTACATACAATCTCCCCCTAATCATTGCATATCCAACAACCTTTAAAATCCTTGCAACTTTTAAGCCATAAATTCTTTTGGCAATGTCATGTATCAAGTAATGTGTTCCTTTTAGCAAAAACATGCTTATATAAAATTATACTTATAGAATACTTATCATGTTCCTCATGCCTAATTACATTTATCTTAAAAAAAACCTCTTATATTTATGGGCATTATAAAACGTTGATTATGTATAGTTTCTCACAACGTCATGTTTAATTATTCGAGCTTTAATCAAAACATACCTTATTCGATCCACTCAGCTATACTAGCCAAATTAACATTAATCTTTGAAAACATAAGTAAATAAAATTAACATTGATTCATAATTCTAAATTCTCTTTCAATGTCAAGTTATTTGAGATTTGACACAAAAAAAAATGTATGTATGCATACCATATACAATACAAATAATGCATTAATACAATAAGGTACAATGAATTGAGAGTTGTACTATTTAGCACTTTAAAGCAATATATGTTATATACTTGAAACAAAATTGCCCTCGGCTAATCAATAAAACATAAACAACCTTAATCATAAAACCAAATATGATGTATACGAAGGGTAATTGATCAACAAAATATAAAATTGCTTTCACGATTGTAACAGAGTTCCTACTACATACTATACTCACTAAAGCCAAGTGACCAAGTGGGATCTAAAGCCAAACCATTTTCAGATACAATAAACAATCAACTTAATGCTTTGCTTGAAAAAAATTCACATGATAAATTAATAAAACAAAGTAATAATATGTTATCATTTATCAAACTCAAATTTATTATACATTATAGGAAATAATTATTTGGCATTACTACTGAATCCGTAATTATATTGGACATACCTTTACTAGTTCACAAGGTATAATTTGCAAATTAATCACTTCAAAAAACAGCTCCATATGTGTAAGTCATATGTAATTATGACTCTTATAAAGATATAATTTGATAATACCTTTTATTTCTTGAGTATATACTACCAACAAGATTAATATGATATAATTAATTAATGTCTACACTCCTCAAAATACTGTAGCTAAAATATGTGTGATATAGCTATAAATTTAAATTAATAAAACATAAGGGAAAAATCATCAATAAAGATCCGACTTCCTCATATATTTATATATTATAAAACAGTCATACAGATATAAACTTTAATATGTAACATTGCACTCGAATTACATTTAATCACTATAAGCCACAAAACATTAGGAAAAATAATAACCAATATAGCCAGAATAAAATTTTCCGCTCAACCAAATAATATAGAAGCTAAACACATAGGTCACATACTACTAATGTATGTTCAACACTAAAATAGATCAAGGGGTTTGATAGCTTATAATCTAATATATACGAAGTATAAGCCTAATGGTGATAAATAAAATCAATAATAAGGTAACTGAATATATATTACCTCAATTCCTTGTTCACAAAGAGTAATGCAATTATAAAGTAATTGCTATTAAGAGTACAGTAGAAATAAATTGTTGAAACAACCAATTATGGATTATTATTCATATGTCTAATGACACTATTATTCTATTATAAAATTCCAAGCTACTCATTACCAATTGATAATTACAACAATGTACAAGTCACACAACACAATAGCTACGCCTACTAGAATCCTTGTATATGCTCATCCTCATATCTAATAAACAGTTGATATTAGGATAAATTATGGGAGTATATATTTGATTTTATGATATATATGATATATATATATTAAGCTAGGCATATTTACTATCCTACTTGCCGTAGGGTTAGGGATCTTGTTTTGCCGTTAGCTTGTATAAATATTGCTATGCATATTAAAAAAAAAAAAAAGCTTCTACTGCCTATCTTTTCGTATCTTTAGAGACATTAGAGTTGATTAAATTAAACATGTTAATCATATACAAACTTCATATATATGTGAATTGAAATGCAAACCAAATAATACAATTTAAGCAACACAATAATAATTTACCATAAAACCCATTATATTAAATTAAAGTATCCTGTAATTCTAAGATGAATGTGAATTCAAACAAACCAAAGATTAATTTTACGTAAAACAACTCAAAGTAATAAAACTAAATAGAACAAACAAAAGGTTTGCATATTCCGGCACCCTTACAACTTAATTATATGATGTAAAAATTTAAATGATGACAGTATCAAAATAAGAGAGTAAAATCATCATATTAATGAAACCGATATCAAATTAAACGTTAAAATAAAGAATGGTCAAATCTATTACCCTATGAATATGATATTAAATCAAATTGATAAAACAGGTTAATACATTATTGATTCAAAATAGTATATGCGTACCTTTTTGTGGCTAGGTTTATTCAAACTCGCTTAAATCAGAGGTATGGTGCTAATAACGTGTTATAAAATAGGGAGAAATATAAGAGAGCTTGATAGATAATATCTCAGTATATTTCTATTCCATATAATGGGGTATATATATATACAATATAATTAGAGTTTTCTTAGATAAGAATATAAACCCTAAATCTATCTAGAATATTCTGGAATGATACAAGGAGTATTATGGGCATTCACACAATATTTCATAACAATGCCATAACATTTTCTCTCTCTAACCACAATTTCTCAGTTTTCACCGTAATTCCTCTAAAACCTCCATAAACATTCTCCATAAGATTAGAAATCACAAATTTCATATGAAATGTTGGATAATAAAGCAGAAATAGCTGGTGATAACACAATTTTTAGGAATTAGGGAAAAAATTCAAGGTTATTATCAATTTTTCGCTAGGGTGACTGCTAGGAGGATGTGACTCGTAGTGTTGTCGCCATTTTATGATGAATTTTAAGGTTTGGAGAGAGAAAATGGTGGTGGATTTGGAGGAAGATGATGACAAAAAAATTGGTGAACATATACTTCCTTTGTTCTTTTTTACTTGACTTGTTTCTTTTATCACGCTTGTCAATGCAAAAGTTCAACGATTAATAACTTTAATTCTCCATAAGTAAAAATTATAAAAGGTATATATTATGATAGTTTTTCTTGGGATGAATTCAAAAATATCCAAAGTGAGCATCTTTTTCCTTACAAATTATTCACAAAAGATGGTCAAAGGAGGAGTGGTGAATAGTATAAAAGTCAAAGCGGGTCAAGTAAAAGAGATCGGAGGAAGTATATTATAAGAATGAACATCTGATACTATGAAAATGAACATTTAATTTTGTAGAATAAAAAACCTATAGCAAGAAAATGTTCATTTTTATTATATTGAATTGTGAACATTAATATTATACGAAGTAAGAATGAACATCTACAAGTATGAAAATGAAGATTAATATTATAAGAATGAACATCTGATAGTATGAAAATGAACATTTAATTTTGTAAGAATAAATATCGTATAGTAAGAAAATGTTCATCTCTTATTATATTGAATTGTAAAAATTAATATTATAAGAATGAACATGTAATAGTATAAAAATGAACATAAATATTATAATAATGAACATATGATAGTATGAAAATCAACATTTAATTTTGTAAGAAATAATATGCTATAGCAAGCAAATATTCATTCTTGTTACATTGAATGTTCATTTTTAAAATAAGAGACTAACAAGATATGACCGGTCCCGGGACCAGCTAAAAATTTGTGCAATTTAACCCAATAAGAATTCAACTCTCTCAAATTGACACCGTTTTTGCCCGATCGGAAATCAACTCGGCCAATAATAAAATGACCCAACAAATAACGAATTCAGCACGATTTCTGTTGGCCCTACCTGAACTCAGCCTCATATTTAATCGACCTGATTTCAACTCCGACATAATTTCAAACCCAATATAATTTTAAGCCCAATTGCTTATTAACATTTTTTTTTGTTACTCAATCATACTTTGATTCGGTCAAAAAAAAAAAACATTGATTTTCTATGGGAAGATATGTGAAACGGGCTGACATCTTTCATAATACAGATCTTAGTCCAGTTCAGTTGGTAAATAGGCTGATATGTTCCACAAAGTAGACATATCGGCCTGTGGGTATTCGACACGTGGCAACAATGGTTTGACACTTAGCGAGAAAGGCTTTGCATGCTTTGTAGCCACCTGTCTTGTTGTTTATTATAAATAGTAGGTTAAACCTCATTAATGGTAAGCATTTATTACTCTCTCTTTCTCTCTCTCTCTCTACTTTCTCTCTCTTACTTACCTTCTCTTAAACACATTCTAACTTTATCATCGGTTTGGTTATCCCCGGAACACACCGGGGTTAGCTAACTTCTGCTCATCTTGTAGGTTCTCAGCTTGCCGATAAGAGTATCAGGATCTCGGGTTAGGGTTCTCGAGCTATCGGATCCAGACAGAAACAATTTGGCGCTAGAAAGAGGGGGAAGTGATTACTTCTATCTCCTAAGAACCTAACACACAAACGTAAGATAGTGATGGCCGAAAACAATCCAACACCGATAATAAGCAAAACGGTAAATTGACCGATTATAACACAGCCAGAAATTGAGGTAGAAGACGAAACACATACATTGGAGGAAAATCAATTCCACATGCCGTTAACCCCGGAGAGGCAAGTGGGAACGACAGTAGATCCTATGGCGGAGTTTACGCCAGAAGAATTGCAAGTAGCAGCGAGAGTAATGACCGCAATGAGCAAAAAAAGAAAAGAGGCTGAAATGGCTCAGGCAGAAGGGGGGGTGCCGCTAGCTAATCATGGTGAACAGTCCAATCAAGCAATGAATTCCCAAGGCACCGCCGGGAAGAAACGCCGGTAAGTACACATACCACACCGCGTCACATAGAGGGGCAATCGTCAAGCCGTACTGTTATTACAAGAACCCATCAGCAGAGGAGTTCCCAAGTTGAAGGGCAGGTACCGCGAATCGTGGTACAATTAAGAGCATCACCATTTGCACAAAGCATCTTGGATCAGCCGATGGAAAAAATCAAGATGCCGACGTGTAGGTATGACGGAAGAGGAGACCCGGGTAGATTCATAACGTCATACGAGGGGCATATGATGCTTTATACAAATTCAGATGCTGTGTGGTGCAAAGTCTTTCCGACTACATTAATTGGAGCTGCAGCCGATTGGTTCAACAATCTGGACAATGGAATGATAGATAGTTTCGAAAAGTTGACCGAGATGTTTATAGGGCAGTATGTTAGCAACAGTGTGCGGCAGAGAACATCAGGGGAATTGATGGCAGTATTGCAAAGGGCTGATGAGTCTTTGAGGGATTATATCAGGCGGTTCAACAACGAGGCAAACACAATTTCGAAGTTGCAACAAGAGATAGTTGTAATGGCTCTTATGAATGGCCTAAATGATTCTGAGTTCAAGCGTTATCTTACACGAAAGAACATCTCGACGCTGGCAGCTGCTTTTAACAAGGCTCATGATTACATCAAGAGCGAGGAACTGATGAAGACAAGTAGTAAGAGTGTAACCATTGGTAAGGGTCAGTTTCAATTTGAGAGTGGAGCTTCAGGAAGTGGAAGGCCGAGAACTTCGACCCAAAGTAGAGGAGGGGGAAGTCGGCAGGAAGTTAGAGCTGCAAAACCGCCGATGCGGTACAGTTCATATACACCGTTAAATACACCTAGAGCGGCAATCTTCTTGGTGAATCAGAACAGAGAAGGATGGACGAGGCCGATCCCTATGAAGGCCAGACCAAGGGACGCTAAGAAGTATTGCATGTTTCATAGAGACGTGGGTCATTATACTGAAGATTGTACACAATTGAAGGATAACATTGAGGAGTTGATAAGAAGGGGCACTTAGCTCAATATCGGTGAAATGCTGGAGGAGGTCAACAGCAACCCTGACAGATTGAAAGGCAACAATTAGAAGCAAGGCCGGAAAGGCCACAAGGAACAATAGTTCGGCAAGGGGACAGAGGAATGCCGCCTCTATCCACAGGGAGAGTAGATGTAATAACGGGGGGACCGATTCACGGAGGAACGGTCAGTGGTGCTAAGAAACACTTATCGGAGCACCGTCATATGGTGTATGCCCTGGATGTGGATAGCCACCCTCGACCCGCTTCGATTCCTGACGTGGTGTTCACAGAGGAAGATGCAAAGGGAATTGTTTTCCCACATGATGATCCGTTGGTTCTTATAACAAAGATCAATGGGGCCGACATCAAAAGGGTTCTGGTTGATGGAGGCAGCTCAGCAAATGTGCTGTTTATGAGGGCTTTCACTGAGATGAAGATAAAAAGGCAGTATCTGACACCAGTGTCTTATCCTGTCATTGGATTCAATGGATTGACAGTGAGGCAAGAAGGAAGTATAGTATTACCTATCAGATTGGGTGATGGGCTGAAGGCAAGGGATTCAATGGATCGACAGTGAGGCAAGAAGGAAGTATAGTATTACCTGTCAGATTGGTTGATGTGTCATCGGCGTACAATGCAATTATCGGCAGACCGATAATCCATTATATGCAGGCAGTAGTGTCAACTTATCATCTCACCATAGCCTATGTGTCAAATCTGGGGGCAGTTGAAAAGGTTCATGGGGGCCAGGTGATGGCAAAGTCCTGTTATGTAACGGCTCTGAAAAACACAGTTGAAAATAGTTCGATACCGAATAATCCAAGAAAAGAACAAGAACCGACAGTGCAAGATTTAGCCATGAAGAATTTTGATACAAGGCCGGAGGAGGTTCCAAGGCCGTTGCCAGGTGGAGAAACAGTGCAGGTTGACTTGCAGCCAGGGAATTCAAGTCGGACGGTTAAGGTTGGGGCGAATATGGACGTGGATATGAGGTGTTATTTAATAAGTCTGTTGCGTGAGAATGTAGACGTTTTTGCATTCTCGGCGAGTGAAATGCCGGGAATACATCCAGGGGTGATGGAGCATAAGATGAATGTGGATAGGAAGTTCAGGCCGATAAGGCAAAAGAAGCGCAATTTCTCAACTGAGAAGATAGAAGCTATACAAGCAAAAGTCAACAAGCTCTTGGCAGCAGGGTTTATTGAACCGTGTACTTATCTGGAATGGTTAGCGAATGTTGTGATGGTAAGGAAACCGACTGGAAAGTGGCAAATGTGTGTAGACTTCACTGATTTAAATAAAGCTTGTCCAAAGGACTGTTATCCACTGCCCCGTATAGATAGGCTAATAGACTCTACTTCTGGTCAGGCAATGCTGAGCTTTTTGGATGCGTTCTCGGGATATCATCAGGTCAGCTTCCATCGCGCTGATAGAGCCAAGACAACCTTTATAACGGATGCTAGAGTGTATTGTTACAAAGCAATTCCGTTTGGGTTAAAAAATGCGGGAGCTACGTATCAGAAGTTGGTAGATAAAATCTTTGAAAAAAAAAAGGGCAGGATGTGGAGGTGTATGTGGATGATACGATTGTGAAGTGTAAGAAAAAAGAAGACCACATATCAGACTTGAGAGAAACATTTGAAACATTGCGAAGATATCAGATGAAATTGAATCCTGAAAAGTGTGTGTTCGGAGTTCGGTCCGGGAAGTTTCTGGGCTTCATGGTCAGTGAACGGGAATTGATGCGAATCCTGATAAGGTGAATGCAGTATTAGAAATGAAGCAGCCGAAGACTATTCGGGACATACAGAGATTAACTGGGAGAATAGCAGGATTAACTCGGTTTATAAGGAAGTCGGCTGATAAGGCCCTACCATTCTTTATGGTTTTGCGAAAAAATAAAACATTTGAATGGAAAAAAGAGCAAAGCGATGCACTGGAGTAGTAAGAAACCATCTGAGATCACTCCCGACAGTAGCAAGACCAGAGAGGGGTGAATTGTTGCAACTTTACATCTCGGCCTTTCCAAAAACTACTGCAGCAGTGTTGCTAATTGAAAGAAAAAGACTGCAGATGCCAATATATTTTGTTAGTCATGTGTTAAATGCGGCCAAGCGTAGATATCCAGTAATTGAAAAAATGGCGCTGGCAGTGGTAATGGCGGTAAGAAAATTGAGGCCGTATTTTAATGCTCATCCTATAGATGTTCTAACGAACCATCCATTGGAGAAGTCATTGCAAAGGATGGATACGTCGGGCCGATTACTAACATGGGAAATAGAGTTGTCAGAATACGAGATAAATTATAAACCCAGCGTTTCAATAAAAGCACAAGCTCTATCTGATTTCATTGTGGAAACATCATACACTGATGAAGAGGAGAAACTGGGCACCTGGCAGGTTTCTATGGTTTAAAGTTTAAGCGTTCATGATATACAAATTATTTACGGTTTTTTTTACATATAATGTTTAAGATATAAAATTGCTTTTATATATGAGGTATTTATTATCAGCTTATGATATGGTAGGTTTTAGTAGATGGATCTGTAACATCAACTGGTTCAGGGGCAGGAATAGTCATAACGGCCCCCGATGAAAAGGTTTTTGAATATGCAATAAAGTTCAAGTTCAAGGCCACTAATAATGAGGCTGAGTATGAAGCTGCAATAGCTGGAGTTCAATTTTCAATAGCTGTAGAAGCAAAGCGGCTGATTCTAACGACTGATTCTCACCTAGTCTCCAGTTAATACACCGGAGAATATGAAATAAGAGAACCAACAATGATAAAGTATCTTGAAAAAATGAAGAATTTAACGGCACAGTTGCAGTATTTTGAAAGAAGGTTGATACCTAGTATACAGAATTCACAGGCTAATGCATTGGCAAGATTAGTGAGTTCAAGCTTTAATGACCTAGAAAGAACTGTCATGGTTGAGGTCTTAAAGCAAAAGAGCATACATGAAGAGTCACAGAAGGTGCTGTGTATAATTAATGGCACTCAATGGTTCAACAAGATATTGATGTATCTCTTGTATGGGGCATTACCACTTGATAAGGAGGAGTCAAAGAAGTTGCGGAAAGATAGCGTATGGTTTATTATGCACCAGGGTCAATTGTACAAGAGGAGATACATGAGGGCACTTGTGGCAATCATCTTGGGGCAAGAGCTTTGTCGCAAGAAGCTATGAGAAGAGGGTATTACTGGCCAACCATGAAGGAAGATGCAGTCAGATATGAGAAAAAATGTGAAAAGTGCCAGAAGTTTGCACCTGCAATCAACTTACCCCCTAATGACCTAACGCCAATGCTTAATCCGATCCCTTTCGCTCAATGGGGGATGGATATTGTAGGAGCAATCCTGTCAGCAACAGGAGGAAGAAATTTCTTGATCGTAGGGGTTGATTACTTCACGAAATGGATAGAAGCGGAGCTAGTAGCAAAGATATCAGCGTCAGAGGTGAAGAAGTTTATCTGGAAAAATATTTTTACTAGATTTGGATTTGCGATGGCGATGGTTTTTGATCATGGCTCACAATTTGATTGCAAGCCGGTTAAAGAACTTTTAACGAGATTCAAAGTTAAGTTTGCATATGCGGCAGTCTGCCATCCGCGGTCGAACGGACAGGCTGAAGCGGCTAATAAGCAGATCATTGCGGCAATCAAAAAGAAGATTGAAGATGCAAATGGTTTGTGGGCTGACTTGGTACCAGAAATACTGTGGGCAAACAGAACAACCGTTAGAGAATCAACAGGGGAGTCACCTTTCACATTAGTATTCGGAACAGAAGTCGTGGTACCGCCGGAAGTCAGATTGCAGACATTCAGAATCCAGCATTTTTGTGAAGATCAAAATGACTTGTTGTTGCGCCAACAATTGGATTTTCTCTCAAAAATACGGGAAAAGGCTGCAGTCAAATCAGCTGCCTACAAAGATAGAATGTCAAGGGCTTATAACAAACGAGTAGCATATCACCCTTTGTGTACGGGGGATTTGGTGTTGCGGAGAACAGCAGCGACTGGAAAAGGGAATGAAAATGGAAAGCTGATGGCTAACTGGGAAGGACCGTATCGAATCAAGGATACGGTGATGCAAGGTTCTTATTACTTAGAAACGATGGATGGGAAACCATTGAAAAATGTATGGAATGCGGCAGTACTAAAAAAATATTATATGTAAAATCCTTTTGTAAACAAAGAGGTTGATATTGTCTCAGGGAGAACCATTATAAATAAAATAATATTCAGAAAACTTGTGTTTGAAATAGGCATCCTCCACTTAACAGACCACCGTAAGTGGGACGAACAGCTAAAAACCACAACCGTGAAATTAATGTGCATATAACCTGATCAGTTATAACCATTAATTCGCGAGGTTGTTGGTTCAAAATATAATACCGACAAAATCGGTTTAGGTATATGCCCCGGAATGCATAACCAACTGATTGCCGAGAGGGTACCTAACTGGCTAAGAAAACAAAGCAGTATGTGACCGATATTGTACTCTGAACTAGCAACATTATCTCTGCCTTAGTGCATATACTTAAGTAACAACTATATGCACAAAGGGGAAGGGGCAAGATATGATGAGATAGGTTTAAAGCACAGTACGAAGGTGGCAGTCAATGGCCGCTAAGGTTACTAGATTACTGAAGAAAAGAGATTAATATGAGTAGAATTTTGCAAAATAGCAGGAAATAACAAGAAATTTTTTTCTCAAATTTTAACAAGTAAGAATCTTTCTAACAAAAACAGTAAGAAATGAATAATTAAAAACAGCATAATAGATAAAGGTGCAAGTGAGTATGTTTATAATAGTTAAAGATGACAATCGACAGGCATCACCACAAAAAAGGGTATATGCCGATAAAACAGCATTGTCAAAAATAGTTTTGAACAAAAGTAAAAAGGTTACATATGTTAGGCTATAGCTGATAAGGCCCAATTATGCTAGGAAGATGTCGGTGATGACTGCCCGCCCCTTCAAGCTTGTGTATCTTTAGGA